GGTTCGACTTGATGGCCATGAATCTGTTTTATTTTTATTTTTATTAATCATTTTATTGGGGGGCTTTTATACATCTTATAACAACCCATTGTTCAATTATATTAAGCACACTTGTACATGTGTTGCCGTCAACATTTCTAAAACATTTTCTTTCTACTTGAGCCCTTGGTATCAGCTCCTCTTTTTTCCTCCCCTCCCTCCCCTACCTCCCACCCTTGTGAATCCTTGATCAATTATATATTATTATTATTTCATATCTTACACTGTCCCTTGTTGTCTCCCTTCACCCACATTTCTGTTATTTGCCCCCTGGGGAAGGGGTGTTTTAAAGGCATATTGATGTCCGCATGAAGGTGGCATGGCTGACGCCCAAATAGGAATATATGTGGGACTCCTGGGGAGTCGAGGGAGGATTGATGGAGGGGCTAGACCCTTCTGCTGTGTACTTGGGTGATGGGAAGAGTAATTCATGGACTGGGAACATACAGATCCCAGTGACAGCAGTGAGGTGTCCTGGAGTGCAAATCCTAAGAAAGTTCTAGCAGCAAATGTAGCTGAGGACTGGGCTCCAACCTTCACTGCAGTGTTGGTGGTAGTGAGGCAGGCCCACCCTCCCAGCTCCTCCCCCCAACTGACTATTGGCATAGATCAGGGAAGGAAGCTTGGGCTCCAGGTGGGTCTAGGTGCTCACTGAGGCCTGGCAACCCTTCTAGTGGGGTCCCCTGACCCATCTAGTCACCTTCAGGAGTGCTCTGTGCAGACAGCAAAGCTCAATCCAACCTATGGGGCCTACAACCCCTAGGCAAAAAGGAAAAGAAAAGAAGAAAAAGTCAACCACTGTTTGAAACAGTTTATTTTAAAAGTTGGAGATACAACAGAGTAAGTAGTAGGGCAGAGCTTTGTATTGCCCCACCGGGTTCCAGGATAGAGACAGGGCTGAGGTTTTTAGGTTCAGAGCTACCGGGACCCTCCCAATCTGTGAGTTCCCAAAGAACTTACCCACCCGCGTCCTCTCTCGGGCGCCCATGCCTGCCTCCCCCACTGCCCACTTCCTATGTCTCAGGACACCACTGAGGTGGAGGGGGGAGCCTGTGACACGGGGAATGGGGAGCTTCTGGTCAGACTTCAGAAGGCAGAGAACCTGGGAGTGGTGGGTGGGGGCCTGAGAGGAAGAGATGGGAAAAAGAGGAAGGGGAGTGTCTTTGCTTCACCCATCCTCAAGACATTGTGGGCCTGCCATTCCCCTGAGCTGTCCCTGGTCGAGCTCAGGAACCTTGGGGAAGGTCGCCTCTGTGAGAGGGCAGTGGCGGTGATGGGGTAGCAATCATGGCCTAGCCAGGTGCAGTACTCCCAGAGCAAACAAGGGATGCTGGGTGGGGCAAGCCGCTGTGCCAGGCTTCCCCTTCAGCTGGGTGCCGGCTGACTGTTGGCATAGGCTTCATTGGGGAAGGAAGCTTGGGTTCGGCGGGCCTGGGTTCTCACGGAGGCGTAGAGCTCCGGCTCGGGACCTGGAGCTTGGGCTTTGGGCTCAGCGTCCAGTACCACCTCTGAGTACTTGATGGGGACTCCCAGGCTGGGGGCCCGGCCCTGCGGAGGCAACAGCTGCAGGCTGGTGTAGCACATCACCTCCTCTGCAGCCTGAGAAGCAGCAAGGCTGTTAGAAGCGCCCTCGGACCCTCCACCTCCTTCCCACCCTTCCTAGTCACCCCAGCTGACTCACCCTGGTGGGGTCCCCCGAGACTGGATCCGGCTGTCCTGGCCCTTTGTCTCGAGACAGTCGTCCTGGGGCAGGAATCAAGAGTCTGGTCAGTTTCTTATTCTGTCTCCAACTCCCCCACCCCAGCTTCGCTTGCCCTTGACTCTGTGCCTCTGCCCTCTGCCAGCCCCTACCTGTCTGCAGATAATGCAGGTTCCCATAGAGGGGCACTTCTTCCACGGGCGCTCCAGAGCTGCGACACAAGAGTTGGGGGGGTGGGGAGGTGAGTGGGGGCACCTTGGTAAGGTGGAACCCATCAACCCACCCTTGTCTTGTCCCCCTACTCACCTTTCCTGGCCCGGATGGCTTCTGCTCTGGCCACGGGTCCACAGGGACAAGTGTGCAGCCAGCGAGAGGAGAAGCAGCAGTGTCACCACCCCTAAGATGGCCCACAGTCCCCAGGCTCTGCCAAAGTCGGGGATTCCTGTGGACCGAAGAAGATGAGGGGGGCGGGGAGGTACTGCCCAGCCCAACCCCCAGCCCCTGGCTCCTAGGCATCATGGGCACCCTCCCCCAGGAACCCGAGTCCTGCCCAGCTCACCCAGAGCTAGTAGATCCGTGCAGTTGTCACTTCTCCACATAACTGCTGTGGATGTGAAAGCTGAGTCACCAGGCCCCCTGCTCTGAGTCCAGAGGTCACTTTGGCTCATGCTCTGACAGCTGCCACAGACCCCTTACACCTACCCGTCCCCGGGCCGGGGCCCCACAGCCCAGCATCTCCAACTGACGGTGGCAAAGTCGCTGATTTCCGGGGAGGAAGGGGGAGGGGAAGATTTGGGTGAAAGAACAGCGATACCGCCCTTGCACCTGCACCTGCACCACTCCTACAGCTCCAACGGTGCCGCCGCCGCGCGCCCCCCACCCCCGCTGCCGTTTGTCTGAAAAAGGAGTGAGCAGGCCTGAGTGTACTGGTCGGTGTTCAGCCCACACGTGAAGTCTTGCTTGGGGGACTGGAATGGAGTGAGGACCAACGAGGGCAGGACACCAGGCCCCAGGACCCCCCTCTGACCCAAAGTGCCTACCTTTTCTCTGGACTCAGCCCCAGGCTGGACAAGTGGCTTCAATAAGAAGGGCACCAAGTGGAGCAGGAAGGAGGCTTCCTGGCCCTCCTGGCCCCCATCCTCCAGGGGCCTTGGGAATGGGTTTAGAGCAGTGGTTCTCACCCTTCCTGATGCCACCCTTTCATACAGTTCCTCATGCTCTGGACTCAGCCCCAGGCTGGACAAGTGGCTTCAATAAGAAGGGCACCAAGTGGAGCAGGAAGTGGGCTTCCTGGCCCTCCTGGCCCTCCTGTCGCGCCTGGGCCGGGCCGCAGCTGATAGCGACCCCAACCTGGACCCGCTCATGAACCCCCACATCCGGGTGGGGCCCTCCTGAGCTCGCAGCGGCAGCCTGGGACCTGGGGGCCAAAGACGGGGAGGCCTGAGGCCCACCCCACCCTCCCACAGCCCAAGACACTAGGAACCCAGGC